AATAAAATAATCTATAAACTATGTAAAAATATTAGAAAAAATATAAAATATAATATAGAGCTAAAAATAAATATACAGTATACTAATATAGAAAAAAAAATTTTATTACAGTACTTTTGACCTATGCAGCCTTTTTGATAATGTCAATGAAGGTTTTAATACATTATTTGCAGACTCATTTTTCTAAATTAAAATTAATTTTTAATGTACATTTCATAATATGAATATTATATAACACTGTATGATAAATTTTAATAATGCTAACCTGTTCATTAGTTTGTTTACTGACTTGTACTTGCCTGCTATATGCTTGCTTACCTTGTGCTTGCCTGGCATTCACTTGCCTACCTTGTTCTTGCCTGCTATTTACTTGCCCACCTTGTGTTTGCCCACTTTGTGCTTGTCTACTATGCACTTGCCCACCTTGTGCTTGCCAATCTTGTGCTTGCCAATCTTGTGCTTGCCCACTTTGTGCTTGTCTACTTTGTGCTTATCTGCTTTGTTCTTGCCTAACCTATGCTTGCCTATACACTTGCATTTGTAGTTTATTAACTTGCACTTATTCATTAATTTGCTTTTGTTCATTATTATCTTGTGCTTGTAGTTTATTAAATTGCATCTGTTCATCAGCTTGTGCTTGTTATTTATTAGCTTGTGCTTGTAGTTCATTAGCTTATGCTTGTTATTCATCAGCTTGTGCTTATAGTTTATTGGCTTGTGCTTAAAAAGATAGTATGTTTAATATTTTTTCAAGACAATGTGAAGTTAACATTTTAATTTATTGATTTGATGTTTTATAGTCTTTATATTTGCAAAGACAAAAATTATATTTCATAATACACTTTCAGTGAAAGAAGTGCTTGCAGTTGAGTAAAATTATCAATTGCAAAAGCTTAGAAGAAATTTCACAGCTACATATTTTGCAAATATTAGAGTCTCTATATTCTATAAGAATTAAATCATCATTGTCAAAGTACAATTTACAAGCAAATTTTTTCAGTTTGTCCATAATTAGAGAAAAAATGGTTTTACTATACACTCATTCAATTGCTTTATAAATATATTAAAAAAAAATAGATTTAAGAATTAGTAATCAAATAATATAGACTTGTAAGTATAAATCTTATTATGAGTTTAATTTTAACTAGCATCATTTCTGTTACTATAAAAAAGTATAATGTAAGTATGGTTCTTACTATAAGATTATATTTTGGCTATCATCATTATTGTTACTATAGAAATGTATAATATTATAATTATTTAAAAATAAAATCATAAGTAAGCTATTAGCAACTATTCAAATTCATAGATTATTCTGAATAATTTTTTTTATATATGTTATATACTTTTAGTGATGACAAAATTTTAGAATTCAATATATCTCAAATTGACTATATTATTAAAAATGTAACTGTATAATGAAAATGTACATAGTAATTAATTGCTTACATAAATCAGTTATATCAATTTTAAAATATCGAATTTTTAGATTATATATTAATAGGCTGGGCAAAATCTAGGAATGTTATAGCTGTTTTCATAAATTCTGAAAAATTCAGCAAAAATTAACTAGCTAAATATTTGCTAAGTTGTTAAGTTCATCAGAATTTAACAAATTAGCAAATATTCAGCTAATTAATTTTTGTTAAATTTTTCAAAATTTAGTAAGTTGGTCTAGTATTAACAATATTACATAACTTTTGAAACTTTTTTGGATGATGATTTTATTCCAGTTGGTCATGCACAAGATTTTTAATAAGATTATTTGGTCTGCATTAGCTTATAATCTGACTTGCATTAAATATTATTTGACCTGTATTAAATATTATTCAGCCTGTATTAATATTAATAGGCCAATTTCTAATTAGTAATTAACTCTTTTCTTTAAATATACTACAACAGATTCAAATCTAATAATCCAATCATGAAGGACCTTCATGATTGTCACATGATTATGCATTATGAGCAATTTAGAATAATTATTTCTTCAATCGGTAGTTATCTTATTTTACTAATACTC